GTTCGTCGGCGACTGAGCATGTTTGTACTGCCAGCCATCGCTGGACGACTCGAAAAGTCCGCTCTTCGAACCACATTTAATCTAGGTCATAACGTTGCTAGAGTGACCGATAGACGATCCAAATTTTACGCCCCTTGATATGCTGGAGCCACCTTCCAGTCAGTTGTCAACCGCGGGGCTATTGCTACTCCAAGAACCAAGGGTCCACGCAAATATATAAAACACTTTTATTCCTTTGGGTCCACGTCACTTGGGTCTCAAATGCCGTTGCGTCTACTCAGTACCAGATGCGATAAATCAAAATGTACAATATTATCCATAGAGACCAACGAAAGACTACGAGTCGTCGACTAACCAAACGGATCCTCGTCGGGTTCGGGGGCAAACACCGCTGTCTGAATGGCTTCCCGTCGCTGGAGCACGAGTCGCATCTGGCGCCGAAGGCTGCGATTGGTCGAGATACTGAGGTCCATCGCTACTTTTTCGCGCAGCAAGGCTTGGTACCAGTTGCCACGATGTGACGTGACGTGCTTGGCCTCGAGGTGGCGCAGCTGGGAGGTCAAGTCGGCGGCCACGCCTCGAAGGAGCTTGATCTCGGCGCGTTGGCGGTGGTAGTGGGTCATACGGGGCGGTGTCGACTCGCCGCGCTCGCGCCGTAGTCGCTTGAGCCGGTACTGCTCCTCCATTTGCTCGTCGCAAAATGACGATGTTGGCTTGGCGGCCGGCGGCGATGTTGCCCAAAGCGCGCCTTGTGTCAGGGTGGTGGAGTTGATGGCTGGCGGCATGCAAAAGTATGGCGTGTCCGTACTGCACGGACTCGCTTCGATCGCAGCCACGTACGCTTTCACGTCGTCGATCGAGGTGAGGTCGATGAGGGGCATGGCGCAAGTTGCGGAATGACTCGTCCCGCCGTTCGGAACAGAGGATGAATCAGTCGTCGTAGCTGCGCCAGTATATCACTGCATAGTGTACACGTATGGAGGGCCCACTGTGCTCGCTACGGTTCAGCACGAATCTTGGACGCCAGCCAAGCTCGGACCAGTGCGAGGCTCGTGTGTCCACTGTGGCGTCAGTTGTGCCCCTGGTAAAATGCGAAAAGACGCGATCAGACGCCTTGAATCGTACATATAACCTAATACTCATGGCCGCTGAACGCCTCGTCGCCATTGTTGCCGTTGCAACCATGTGGTGTACCGCAGACTATGTGTGTATCGCGGACCAGTGGCCGCCATCATGGGCCGCCAACTAAACGACACTTGGCGTCTGAACGAGCGTGCCATTTACTTTACTGAGCTATCAATACTCTTTATTCCGCGACTAGAGTAGGACAGACCGCTTGGCGTTGGTGGCACTCTCGGTGCGTGCGTCGCCTTGGGGAACACTGTGCACCCAGAAAGCGGTAATTTCGAAAGATCGTGTTCCATATCTTGGCACCAGCTGGCACTTGGGTGCATAAAAGAGGGCCACTGGCAAAGTAGCGTCCGACCACACGTGGGTTGGAGAGTACGCACGGGTGATAATGGGGGGTGGTAGAGGAGAGGCTCGAAGCTGTGCAATCATTGTGCGTTCTTCTTTCGATATCTGTGCGTAATACGACCGGTTGAACGACGAGTCACGGCCGCAAGGCGGAGGTCGACAGCTTGCGCAGAGCTCTTGTGCAGATGTGCGGTTGGCACTTGCAGTCGAGACACATGACATATGGTCTAACGCAACGACTGCCCTCCAGGCATCTTGATCGTGGCCGTTGGCGTTGCCAGTATTGCGCCCTTGTGTGGGCCGTAATCGCTGTGACACGAGATCGACGAACGGGTTAGTATGTGATGACGTTACGTGGAACCAAGCTTTACGACGTCCGTGCTTTCTGTGGCCCAACAGATGCCGTCACTCGTCGCCGATGCCGATCCGTGGCTCATCTCCTTCCCCAAGCTCCTTCGCAGCCGCATTACTACAGCTGGAAGCAACTTCCTTGGCACTGATGATGGCCAGCACTGCTTGTACACATCTGGACGCAACCTGTGGGAGGGTAAAAAGCGTGCAGCTACAAGCGCCAGTGGACTAGGCTTTTGTGTTCCATAAAATCCAAAAGACTCATTTCAACGACAAGGTTTTGTGTTAAGGTATCGCGCATCGAATCAGTCAACTCGAAAAAATAGCTACATTTGACTTTCTGCGTCGAACCGTCCAAGACGACTCGTACCATAGAAAGCGACGGAAACTACGTCTGGTTGGCGTTGGAAATGACAAGAAGAAGGCCGTCGATAGGCATTATGCCCCTATCTCTCTCGTAATTGCACATTTTATAACAGCAGTTGGACCAAAAAGAGACTTCGGTCCAAGCATACATCGGGCAGCGGACACGATGC